TGAGGAACTGGAGCATAAGTGTAAAACCCCATTCTTGATTTTAGTTAGATCATGAATTGTATTTAGTTAATTAATTCTTTTTTTTTTTATTTGATTTTTGGTATTGTGGTAAGATAGGGGTATTTCTGTTAGTTTTTAAAGCTGCGTTAAGGGGTGAAATCGAAGAAATAAATCCTGATGGGTTTGCATGTATCAAGAGGGAAAAATTTGGACATTTTTGCTAGGGAAAGCTTATGTGGCGGGGTTAAATTGAAATCTAGAGAAATTGGGGGGCAGAAATAATTTCAGAAAAGTGTTGTTTAAAAGGAGAAGGAAACTGGGCAGTTCGCCCAAAGGAAGAAGAAGAAAACGAGAGCAGAAGAAAGAAAGGAAAGGAGAAAAAAAGGGGAGAAGAGAAGAAAGAGTGGGTTTGGCCGAGAGATAAGAGTGAGAGAGGAAGAGAAGAAAAAAATAAAAAAAATAAAAGAAGAACAAAGAGAAAGGGAGAGGATATATTAGTTTTTAAGTCTGTGAACAGTGCATCATCAAATCGTGATCTGGAGCTCATTGGCCGTCCGATCGTTCTGATTTTTGGATATGTTGTTCATGAAACACAGCTCTACATTCTGAACGGTGGAGATCGAAATCCAAGCACTGTAATAGGCAGCCAATTATAGGATTAGAAGAGTGAGTGGTTTTAATAAAAACTTTCCTTAAAAATTTCAGATCTATGCTTGCATGTTAATTTCTAGTATGCCATTTTTGTATTTTGATGAGGTTTGAGCTAAATGTGAAGCTTGCTTGGTTTATTTTTTCTTTGCATGTTTTCGGACAGATTCTAGAGCGGTTGTTTTGAGTTTTAAAATGGAATGAACTTTGCTTGCTAATTAAACTTGCATGCATTTGGCTGTTTCAATAAACTGTGATGGTGGCTGGATATTTTCGGTTGCATGCACTCGGCTGGACTGCATTTTGAGAGATGCTTGAGTTATGTATTTGGACTAAAAGTTGGTTGGTTAAATACACTTGTATGCTTCCAGTTGGACTGTCTTTGAGAAAATTGTTTTCCATGGTGTTTTAAAATGCTGGGAGTTAAGGGATTTTGGTTGTTAAAATGTTAAAGAAAAGACTGGGGTTAGTAATAATTTTCTCGGTAAAAAGGGCAAATGGGGTGCTTTTCGTCAGTTTTGAAAGTATATTTTAAAAACTTGCATTTTACCCCCTATTTTCCATGAAATCTCACATGTTGGCATGTCTTATCCTTATAGGAAATATTCATATATTATTATTATTATTTTCCTCTTGGGTTTAATTATAATTATACTGTGTTATATGAGTTTTGATTTTTAAAAGTGATATTTGTTTATGATTTATAAGCACATACGTAATATACTCTTGACTTACATGTTACTTGAGATTATGCATGAGATTGTTTTGGTGCTAAAACCACCCTACAAAGTACCCATCCCCCAGAGATACAGATTATTGGCTCTGCCCGAGCGATGCAGGATTCCGCCGGGTATGATAGTTTCAGATTTTGGCTCTGCGCATGCGTATGACAGATTTTATTGGCTCTACCTAGGCGTTGAGTGGTCCGCCAGGTATGACAGTTTTTGAGGCTCTACCCGCGCGATGATAGACCTTGCCGGGTATGACAGGTACGTCCCTTGCTCTGCCTGCGTGTGGGACGCCCACCAGGTATGACAGATTTTCCCCAGGGTACTAGTTGTGGTGAGAGGTTTAATAATAAATGTTGAGGTTTTATATAGAATCCGATACAGTTAAAGGAAGTAAGTCAGAGTACAGTTTACTGAGTGCAGGATGATTAGAAATAAATTATATATATTGTATACGAGAACGGGCTGGTTGTTCTATTGCATATTCATAAAAATTATATTGTTGCCATGATTTGCTTGAAAATTGTTGCATGTTAGCATTATTTTTTTTTTAAAGAACTTTTATAAACCTCCCCCTTTTCCCCACTCACTGAGTATTTCAGCTCACCCCTTTTTTAAATGTTTTTCCCCCCACCAGGACCTTTCGGAGATCGTGCCGAGCAGTGAGCCTCCGCTCAGGGTTGTGCCACGCGTTGACATCTTTTATGTGGGTTTTATATTTATGTCGCATTGTAAATTTGGACTTTCGTTTCAAGAACTCATGTTTTCCATCATGTATTTCCTTTTGTTTCATATTTTGGAATGTGTAGTATAAGTGGAAAACCTGATACCAAAAGTTTCCCTAACTCTTTTCTTTTGTAAAACGAAAGATGATGCATGTCTTTTTTGAGATGTTGGAGATGGAAATACTATGATGTTATTCAGGAAAAGTATGTCTTTAAACAGGTTTCACAGTTTTTCTACATGGCATGTCTCTAGTATCCGAGTCTTGTGGGAGCGCCCGGATCCTATGGGATGAGGAAATTCGGGACGGGTTGTGTCAATAAGACTTCTTGGGCTCAAACCATGGTTTCTTTTATTTTCGCTAATTATCGTTAGCCCATCGACGATCAGCCCTCATATTCCCCCCCCCCCCCCCCCCCCCCCCCCCCCCCCCCCCCCCCCCCCCCCCCCCCCCCCCCGACCTGGCGTACTAGCCAACGGACCAAGGTTGTGGTGGTTGAGCACTGCCACAGAGTTCTCAATACGAAGTTATTTCTTTGTAAGGCTGTAGAAGCGAGAAAGGGAAACATCGTCCTCTGATTGCAACTCCTTCCATAGATTTGTCTGTGGACGAACTCCCGGGATGATAAAAGTCCGAACGGATTCTTCGAGAGTGTGAGCTACTTTATGGAGCTCTCTATGGAATCTGTCGATGTAAGATTGGAGGGATTCATCCCTCTCTTGCCTTATGTTGCTGAGGTAGCTCAAAGGCATTGAGAACTTCTTGTTTGCTTAGATGTGTCTCAAGAATGTCGAGCTCATCTGATTCTATAAGCTAATCGATCTTGCTGGGAGCGACTTGAACCATCGCTTGGCATGAGATGTAAGAGTCACTGCCAAGCATCAACATTTTATCAAGTCAGAAACTTGGTGAAGTTCCATCAGGTCATTGAATTCGTACAAATGATCATGCAGATTAGAATTCCTATCGAATGCCTGTATATCAGGCATTCTGAATCTGGATAGGAGAGGGGCGGCTAACACAGTCAGAGAAAAGGGAGACGCCTTTACGACCTGCCCTCGCTCATTTTGCTGAGCCTTTAGCTAATCCAGAGCTCGCTGTAGCTCCTCAATTTAAGGTAGCGGAGCCATTTGGGGATTGCTTTCCCCCATGCAGGTTCCACTCTCGTGATTGCGGTTAAGGAAAGTCTGAAGGTCGGATTCCTCGTCGCCTCCGTCGGTAGTTTTAGTCGCTCTTGACACACATTGGCTAGAGTCATGCAATGGAGCTGAATGGTCTAGGGAACCTTCCCGACCTCCCCGGTGGTGTGAACCGACCCGCGGATGGTAGGAATTTCCCACGCTACAACGATCGAAGTTGACATTTTGGCGATAATGGGAATTTCACTACACAAGGTAAACTTGGTTCTCCAATATTCAAGGCCCTAATTTGTCTCTACTGCTAGCTATACATAGGGATGAGACACGAGCCGAGTAGCTCGCGAGCTACTCGAGCTCGGCTCGTCGTAAGCTTGAGTTTGACTCAAAATCAGTCGAGTCGAGCTCAAGCTCGAGCAGCTCATGAACAATAACGAGCCGAGTTCAATTCGAGTTGAGCTCAGCTCATCGAGCTCGTGAGCTTAAACTAGCTTTGGGGGCCAATTTGTAAGATTTTAAAAGTTTTATTTTTAAGTTGTCAACATTACAAACAACACCCATGACCCATTCCCAGACAAAAACAATAAACCCATTTCAAAGCTCAAATAAAAACTCAAAACCCATTTGGGATTTTTTCTTTCGGCTTCAAAAATCCAACTTCATTCATCTTCTCTTTCACCTTCATTCATCCTCGGTTCCATTCAAGCTTAGAATGTGAAAGAAAAATAATGAAGGAGAAAATCTGAAGGAGCAGAAGAAGAAAGAGAAGAGGAGGTGAGAATAGGGAAGAGAATATGGAAGAAGTAAAGAAGAAAGAGAAGAGAATGGGAGAAAGAAAAGAAAAAAAGACGAAGGAGAAGATTTGAAGAAGTAAGAAAAGAGAAGGGAATGAGGCAGAAAGAGAAGAGGACGGGGAGAATGAGAGAAAAAAAAAGATGAGGTGATAGGTGAAAAGAAGAAAGAGAAAAAAAAAAATGAGGTGATAGCCTGTGAAAGGACGAAAGAGAAAATAAGGGGAGAGAGAAAATACAATATTTTAGTATTGAGCTCGATCAGGCTCAAGCTCGTTTGAGCTCGATTAAGTGAGCTCCAACTCGAGTACACTTTCACAGTACCAAGCTTGAGCTCAAACACAAATACTAAAGCTCGATCGAGCTCGAGCTCGGTACTGTTCATCATGAGTTGAGCTCAAGTACCGAGATACTCGGCTCGTGTACATCCCTTATAGATAGACTAGAATTACTAGAATCCTTGTAAATGTGTGATTGTATCTCGACAGTTATAGTTTGCTTATAGTGAGTCAATCACTCTTAAACTATAGGATCTAAAGCTTTGTATGGTGGCTATTTATGCCCAGCTAGTAATAGAGAAAATCATCAAAGTCTTCTCCTCACAAACTCTATAATTTTTACTAACATGATCGAACCAATGTTGTTAATTAGATTCAATATATAACTCAGGATTTTATCGTTAATTGATTTTTGATATGTATATATTATTTCTCATGAAATAGTGACTGATTTAAAAGCTATAATGATTTTAATTGTGACTCAAATGATTATAGTTATTACTATGAATATAGAAAAACCTTATACTATGCATCTATTTTTACTTCTGTGTGTGCGATTACCATCTTTGGAAGATAAAGGATCTAGTCATGTTATATAACATATATTAAAAACAAAGTCCTTGTATTATTAGAATAACGACAAGCTTGAAATGGAAAATCACACTAAAAGTAGAAGGTGGATCTAATACAAGAAATCAAATTACTTGCATTATAGAACATATTGTTTGTAGGATAGTTAACAACAAGATTATAATTGCGGCAATTGTTGCCGTGCCTCTCCAAACATTGCTGAAATACACACTCCTCAACTTTGCCTTGGTTTTGTTCCAACGATTGTTATAGTGTGCCTTCAATTCCTCGCAAAGGTTATAGTAACAAGAATTACTTAAACAAATTTGAGAACAAAGTTTGTTAAACATATTAGCTACTGAAGCATTATCCCCCAAATGATTGGAAATTATTCCCTTTCCAACAAGCAAATCCACATCTCTCTCAGTATTTATAAGACAGTCTATCATATCAACGTAATTGCAAATCCGAGTATCAAATGAGTAGTAACACTGCTCCAAAGCCATTATGTTTCTAAATAAACATTCTGTCTCATCTCTTACTTCCAAACATGGTATTTGCAATTGGTCATGAATGTTGAAAAATGACCGTTTTCTAAATCTTATGTCAAGTAAATCTTTTCTTTCAATTCCTATAAACTTCACTCCTGACTCACGTAGCTTCACTGCACAAGGTAAACTTCCAATATTTACATTAGAATTCACTCTCGAGTCACTCCGACTATTAGAAAAGCAGCCTTCCTTGATCAGTAGAACACTTCTTCTCAAATCGGTGAAATGTTTAACTTCCATAGGTGACCTGGGCAAGCTCTTGAACAAGTAGCCCCCGAAGAACTTATAAGAAAGATCCATGAAGGAAGGATTGTCAGCAATGCCAGGGCCAACAAAAGCTAACTTATACACTTTCTCGAGGACAAAGTATGGAAGTTGATTTTCGAGTAACTGAAAATCGAATTTTAAAGCATTATGCACGACAGGTATATTTTGCAAAAGATCACTTGTATCACCTTTGTGATGCCTCCAAAAGAGCTCGACGATGAAAATTGCATCATCTAGAATCATCTTTACAAACTCATCCCTCGGAACCATGAACGTCTCAGCATAACAATTACGAATACATTGTTCCTTGTTCTTTACGAAGGCTGAAATTTCCTCCATCTTTATCATAGTTATACGTTTAAGGAAACTTTCCATATATCTTGGTTTTTGTTTCTCCATTTCAGCTAATTCTTCTTTACCATGATGAAAAGGGCCTATTGAAATCAATTTAGGAGTGTAAGCTTCTTCGTTTACTTTCCGAATACTTTGAGGAACCCTGAAAATACAATACCCTTGATTAGTCCACTCCAAGGTATCCTCAATGTCAATATGCTCCTCAATGTCAATATGCCACTCTCTGATATTATTCTGATCCTCAATAGAAGCACTCATCTCCAAGTTCATTGTCCTAATTATGACAAATAGAGAGAAGTCGCTAACAATGAAGTTTATTATTAAGATCAACTAGCAAAAGAAAATCATTATTTGCCTATTGGTTTTACTTGAAATCATTTTCAAAATTTTAGGCAATCTCTCATATAAATCACAAACAAATTGTATGTGCTCACATGTGCCATATAAATCTGTTGCATGCGGCCTGTAAGAATTTTTTGAAAAAGGTTAATCCATGCGGCATTTGATTTGACAAATTATTTTACTTATTTTTCCATCCTAGAATTAAGACAAGGTTTCCAAATTAACTATCACCCATAAGTTGGAATACAAAGTTGAGATCCCATTTTTGTGTACATAGCATTATTGTATGCTTAATTATCATGATAGCCGCAACTTATATGAAGTTGACATTTATGATAATATTAAAAAATAAAATAACCCCTCTTAAAAGTAATGATACCAGTTTATAATCATCGAAAAAAAAAAAAAAAAAAAAAAAAAGGATTGATATAATCAGATAAATCAAGAAGTATATTTATGTTTTTGTTAGAAAATACAAATAATGTTAGGCTTAATCTCCTATGAGATTTTGCTAAAAATAAATAAATGAGATTAAGATTCTTACCCATTGTTAGGAATATATATTTAATGAATAGTACTAAACTTCTCAAATGATATCCCAAATAGTTTTTCCATTACAGTAATAGTTGTCAGATGTGACTTTGTTATGTAAATGAAGAGTTAAATATTAACACCACATCGACATACATCATATAGGATAAAATTTGAAATATTAACTGAACTCTTAACTATAAAAGCTAATTATGGCAACAATATAGAAAGAACATATATCTTAGGAATCTCCTCACATTTTATGGTATTTTATGTTGACCAAACATCACCTTAAAGTATAACTAAATTTTATAAATAAATAGGATGATATTAAAAAATTAAAAGTAAAGTGTTTGTGAACCTAATAGCTGAAGTTCTAGAGCGCCTTCTAGTTCCAGAGACCTTCCTCTCGGATATTAAGCTCACAGAGATTTCTTATCCTGATCTCTCTTCGATAATGCGTTTTCTCTCTTCTGCTTCCTCTTTTGTCCGCACATAATCCAACGGTTAGCAAAACACAACTTTGGTCGAGCACGCAAGGAAAGAACTTAGGATTTCTTATAGGTTGGTTTGGATAAACTCAAATGAAAGTAATGCTAATTCCTTTTTTTAGTTGTTCAACTAACCAAGGAATAAGAATAACTTCAAGATCAATATGATCACACTTTATGTATAGGGAAAATATTAGAAGTATCCTATAAAATGTGTAATCCCTAAAATACCCTTGTAAAATAATTATTTAATTAAAATGCAGAATGACAAATCAGTTAGAAGGTTTCAATTTAACTTATTTACCCTAGATGGTGGGCTAATGCATTATTAAAGTAAAACTAATTGCATGACAGAATCGTATGATTTGTATCGCAGTGAGCAACATGAGTAAAATTAATTGCCGAAACAGGTGTGCCTCTGCGGATACTGCTGAAATAAATAACTCTTCAAATTTGCCTAAGTTTCGTTTCAAGGATTGTTATAGTATACTTTCAGTTCCTTGCGAAAGTTATAATACAAGAATTACTTGAACAAATTCGAGTAATGTCACACTCAAAAGATGGGAAATAATTCCCTTTCCAAAGAGCAATTAAGTCTAATTATTGTTTTCTCATAAAAGGATTATTAACAAAATGCTTGTTTTAAGAAGAAATTAAAACATTGCGCGCAAAAGGACTGAACCCACTATTATCAGAATGACAAGCTGATCAAATGCAACTATAAACAACAAGGCGTACAACAAGCAGGTCCGTGGCAGCTTCTATGATGGAAATTATGGTTTGTATCAAAGTAAGCACCATGGTGAAAACGGCCAAAAATGTTCCGGAAGATTTCAAAGGATCATCGAACCAGAGTATAAAGGCTGCCTTGGTATGGTTCGAAGGATTCTTATAGTGTTCTTTCAGATCCCTGCAAATGGCGTAGTAACTAGGGATGTATACGAGCCAAGCCGAGCCGAATAGCTCGGTACTCAAGCTCGACTCGTGATGAACAGTACCGAACTCGAGCTCGAGCTCAATCGAGCTTCAGCACTCGAGCTCGAGCTCGAGCCTTATTGAATTTACGTTTCATTTACATTTTCTTCTCTTTTTCTCATATCAGTTCTTCTCATTTTTTTTTTTTTTTCAACTTTATTAATGATTTTCTTCTCAGTTTACTTATCAAGAATTACATTTCCAGTAAAAAAAAAAAAAAAAAAAAAAAAAATTTGTCACCGAAGAAAGCCTCCCTAAATACAATTATCATCATAATTCCCTTCTATAACAAAAGTCTTCAAATTTGTCACCATCCAACCAAATCGGCAAGGGAAAGTTGGGTGGGGATTCTTAACGAATAGGTAGTGTGCAGGCTGGGCTCAGGAGTGAACAGAGGCGACTGGTAGGGTTAATCCGGCCAGAACAAACACAAGAACACTCAAAATGAACAACGAAACAACACCCAAACTTCAATACAAACTTCAGAATACTCCATCAATGTCAAAAAAAAAAAAAAAACCACGGCAAGAAAATTGGAAAATACAGAACAACAACCACTTGAAATACAGAACAACAATCACGGCACTGCAGGCAGCAATCGGCGAGCAGGGGTGGACGGTGTGTGAGTGGGTTTTGAAGAGCAAGTGAGGGATGTGGTGTGACGATGAGAAGTGAAGTGGGTGGGTTGGTGCTGCTATGCGGGAGATGCGGGGAGGGAAGGTGGTGGGGAAGTGGAGCGGGGAAATTGTAGGACGGCGGCGTGACTGATTTACGGCAAATGGCAGTAGAGAGTTAGGACTTAGGGTTAACGAAAAATCGCAAATGGGTTTTATGAGTTTTTGTTTCAGTTTGAAAAATTGAAATGGGTTCTGCAATCTGCACTTCTGTTTCTGCGTTTTTGTCTATATGGGTGCTATTTGAAATTTTAATAACTTAAAAATAAAAAAACTTTTAAAATCTTGCAAATAACCCCCTAAGCTCGTTTAAGCTCGCGAGCCTGATGAGCCGAGCTCGGCTCGGCTCAAACTCGGCTCATCACTGTTCACGAGCTGCTCGAGCTCGTGCTCGATTCGCCTGATTTCGAGCCGAGCTCGTGCTCGATTCGCCTGATTTCGAGCCGAGCTCGAGCTTAGGGCGAGCCGAGCCCGCGAGCTACTCGGCTCGTGGCTCATCCCTAGCTAGTAACTGAATTTTTTAGTATGAATATACAAGGAAAGTCTATTAAACATATTTGCTACTGAAGCATCGTCTCCCATGAAATGACTTATGATACCGGCATCAGCAAAAAAATTCATATATTTTTTAGTATCAATAAGACCATTAATTAGCTCAATATAAGAGCAAACCCGTGTATCATCTGGATAGAGACATTGCTCCACAGCCATTATGTTCCGAAGTATAGTTTCTGTCTCGTCGTAAACTTTCAAATGTGGTATTCTCAACTCATCTACTTCAAATTTTATATCAAGCAAGCACTGATCCGTTTTATGAACAGCCTTAAATTTCACTCCTGTTTTATGTAACTTCGCCGCACAAGGTAAATCAATTTCAGGATATTCAAACTTCTGTTTCGGGTAGCTTTTCACTAGAGCACTTCTTCGCAAATCGGTGAAATGTTTAAACACCGTTTCCTCAGGTACACTATCAAACATCTGATCCTCAAAGAATTTAAAACAAAGATGCATGAAGGAAGGGCTGCTTATTACTAACTTGTATAATCCCTCAAGTAACAAATATGGAAGTTGATTTTCCAGTAATTGCAAGTCCAACCTTAAAGCATTTTTTTCTGCTGGTATAACTAACAGAAAGTCTCTTTCATCTTCCTCAAAATTCCTCAAGAGGAGCTCTATAACAAAAATAGCATCACGTAGAATCATCATCACATAATCATGACTGTCAAGCTCACAGGTCTCTGAATGACAATTTCGTATCTTTTGCTCGTTGTCTTTGATGAAAGCTAAAACTTGCTCACGTTTCTCACAAGTTGTTCGTATGAAAAACTCTTTTATATCTCCCTTTTAGCTTTTCCATGTCTTTTAATTCTCTTTACCATAGTGAAAAGGGGCTATTGAAATTACTTGGGGGGTGTAGGCTTCTTTCGTTGACTTTACGAAAACTTTTATGGACCCTATAAATACAACACTCAGGACGAGGGTCCAAGTCTCCCTTAATTCTCCTGCCTTTGCACTCAGCCTGACAGACCCGACGCGGATGGAACTCAGCCACATGGACTCGACACGGATGGAACTCAGCCTTCATGTTCTTATGCAGTAAATCTTAGTTAATAACATAACAAACAATGATAAAATAAACGTCAGATCATTTGGTCTTTGATTACAAGAAATATTATTCAGAATTAATTTTATGAATATATAAAATAAGACAAATTGTGCATAAATTTTTATTGATTTGATATATATATATATATATATATATATATAGGAATAACCTCTGTATAATCATAAAACTTTCTAGATCAACCTTAAGATAGTTATAAATAAGAATAAACTTCACTTTATAATAATTATAATTTTTCTAATTCACGTCTTAAGAAAATTACTTCCACATAGTAATAATTATTTGTGTATTGTAAAAAATTATATGCTATGTTACATTAAAGGTTTAAGATGAAATAAAATATTTATCTAAATTTGTTTGGAATAATCAGTTATGTTTTAAAGTTTTATCACGTCTTTTAATTTGTGGATATGTAATAACTCATTAACATAGACATCTTCTTGTTGAAGTCAAAATATTTTTAACTTCCCAAACATGTTTAGAGTTTTTTAGCACGAAACTTTTGTATTTTCGTACTATCATCTTCATGATTATTTCTTTTCTTTTCTTATCTAATTACAACAATGACTACTAAAATAATGAATTAAAATCTTAATACATACTACTAAAACGTGAATTACAAAATAAAAAATCAAAACAGTGATTTTTATAACTATATATTTATTAAGTTATAATATTTTTCTAATAATAAATTAGTTTAATCCTACAATTATAACTACGTGTGTATGTTCAAACGCGCGCATATACACACACATATATGTACTAATAATTGCTTCAAACACTGGTTGTTAGGACTCTTTGGATAGGTTTCATAGGATAAAGGTTAAAAGAGGAAATACTCCTAAATTTTTATAATTATTAAGCGTTAAAACACTTACACCCTTTAAACTCCAAAAATTATCATATCGTCTATATAAGTAATAAGAGTATACCACACCATTTTAAATTAATAATAAATTTCAAAAAACACAGCATTTTAAGGCTTAATTTCATGATTAATACCTCAAGTTTAGATGAGGAAAAAAATGACCACAGTATATTTCGGATATCATCAGTTAACCCCATCTATTAACAAATCAAACCCTAATTAACTTCTTTTAATTATCACTTTCTCTCCATTTTCTCATTAACCAAACACACATTTACTTTCTCTTCATTTTTTCAACCTTCACTAGCTTTTCATTTTCTCGTTAACCAAACAAAGAGAAGTTATAATATACTGAAATACCAAACCATGCCAAAAACCAATGTACATAGATTAAAAACGAAACCGAAACAACCATGCATGGCCCAGTAGCTAGCTATACGCCTATACCACATATGTATAGTTAAGTATATAGGACTACTTGACAAAATTTTCAGGGTTTAACTAACAAAAAATACAAAAACTTTCAAATAAAAGTCAACACTTCCATGCACAGTCAACAACATTTTAGTCCTTTTGGGTTTGGTCTATTTTGTCATACATTAATTCTTTTGGGCTTTTTTTAAGATAAAAAAAATTAAAAAAACAGATTCAGGAAGGAGAGAGTGGGTATTGAGATCTTGGTGCACTGGGTCTAATAGAGGATAAGGCAGCCGTGACAGATTCAGGAAGGAGAGAGTGAATAATACGAGTGGGTGGTGAAGAAAAGAGGAGAGGATGTCGCGGCCGTGTGGGAGCGCTGGTGCGGGAAGGGAGATGGTTAATTCTGGGGTTAGGGTTTTCAATATTTTTAATTTTTTTTTTTAAATTAAATTTTTTAATGTAAACAAATTAGGGTTTGATAATGTATAGAGATATGCTTTTGACAGTTAATCGGTAGTTTTAGGATTTTGTTAAAGTTGAATAAAGCATAATATAGTTTAAAATAAAAATCCAGTTTTATATTTATTTCAAATTGTCTTATTAGGGGTATTTTAGAATTTACGTAAAAATTCTGATTCAAAGAACAAAATTTAATACCTTCTGTTAGGTTGAAAGACTATCTCACCAGTGAAAAATAAAAGTGTTCTGAATTTTTATTAGAGGCATAATTCAGGAATGTCTGAGTATTTACCTCCTTCCATACAAGAGTTAACTTCATATATGTATATGTTCATACTGATTATATAGTTAGAAAAAGTAACGAAACTCATTCCTTTTCATTAATGGTTAATAATTTCTCCAAACTGAACATTAGTAAGTTAAAAATACACAAAAGGCAAATAACTCGAACAAATCATTAAGAAAAATAAGTAATAAAAACAAGTGCATGAGAACCTGGGTAATTTCGCTAGAAAAAAAATGGTTGTCTAGTCGGTATCAAGAGCACCAATGTCCAGAGTCCTGCCGCCGAAGCCCAAAGGAACGTGTTAATGTTTATGGTATCTCTCTAGCTAATTGCTCCCTCTCTCTTTGCAATGTGGTTTCCTCTTCATCTTCGTTGCACATATATATATATACATGTTCACCTTCATAATGTGCTTCCCTTATTATCCGCATAATCAATCATGAAAATTAAATTAATTACAGTCGATTCAACCACTGGGGTCATGTTCAGTTGGTTAAAAGAAAATAATAATAATAATAATAATTAACTAAATGTTAGTATATGCCTATATGGTACCATGGTCACACAAATAGTCAATTTAATAATTACCTAAATAGTAATAAATGACATAAATATATTAATTTGTGGTATATTATAATTACAAATTGTTCAGATGAAATTGTATTCTAATTCTAAGATATTAAAATTTTTATTTAATAAACATTTTACATTATTTGTAAAAACATTGCAAATTAGCAATTATTTTTCCAGTAAGGTTAAAAAGATAAATTTATTATAAAAATATTATTAAATTAAATCCATAATTGCAATATTAAGTATATCTTCCCATTAATGTGATACAATAATAAGTGTACAGTGTACTTTGACTCAAGGGAGAACGACATATTCCCACCCAAGGTTTGGCGAAATGAAATGTTCCCACCCATCGTTATGTCATATTAAGAAAATCCGTTTTGAAGAAGGGTAGGATGGTCAATATACATAGTACTATAAAAATCAAAATTTAAAAATTAATTTAAAGTTAATGATGAATAATGAAGATGATTTTGAATATGTATTATTTAGATAATTATTAATAAAAGTGAAAAAGACATTTCATTGGTCAGTCAAATTTTAATAAATAATAAAATTTAAGTCAAATAGCAAAGGGTATTTTTGTCTTTACAGTAAAATAGTTACAGATTTTACTAACGGAACGTAATGGTGGGTGTGATTTTGAATAGTTACAGATTTTAATAGATACTTGGTTTTCGATGAATTTTTTCATCTAATGAATTCATCAAAAACTAATTTGCAATTATTATATTGGGTTTGTAAGAGAAAATTTGCAAGATTTATTTGTCAACCTATATTTATTGATTTTCACATATTAAAGAAAAACTGTGGTTATAGTTGACGTTAATTAATTAAGCAGGTGACTCAAGTAGATGACAAATCCCGAAGAAGAGCATCAAAGTTCCCTAGTTCAATGAGGTTAAAGTTAGCCACAAGTGTCATGTTATAACTTTAAAATGAAATAGGATTCCTCAGTTATGTCACAACATGAAATTTTTAGTATATTAAAAAGAAATATATTACAGAGTAGTTACGTCAAATTATCTTCTAATTATAAAATATTAATTGAAGAAAATTTTCCCTCACATTGATCCATCTAGTGACAGTGGAAATTTATAAACGTTCATTGTTGTATATATATCAAGATTCATCTATTTATTTAAGGAATCCTCAGCACAAGATTCCTTTCGAGAATGTAGATTAAGGTTATGTTTGATCCATATGCATGCATCAACTACAAGTTGACCTTGTCCAATTTTTATTGACTTTCAAGAAGAATAGGCTCATATTTTAATTATCAGTTGTTAACCACCCTAGAACTAAACAATATTATATTGAAGACCAACTATATAATATGTTTAATTAGCAAGAGCATTTTAAAATGCCAGGTAACAACGTAGCATCTGCATGTAGTACCAACTCTTAGCATTGATTTTTTTAATAATCATTTTTCAAAGCTCAGATGCTTTTAATTAACTTATCCCACTGTCGAGAACATATATATATATATATATCAAATCCTGAAACCTTTATATTAAGCCATTATATCAAAACACTGAGATTTCGATGTCCTAGTTTACTATTTTACAAAATACACCCCATATTCATTTTACAAACCAACATGTATCATTTCTAATCCTTACAAAAACATCCCATTATACTAACAAGACTAAATCATATATTTCATATAAATTATCCTTTACATGTTACGAATAACGTAGTAAGACATACTGAAATTGGTTTAGCCTTGCAATTTATTTCTTGGTGGAAACAAGAAGAACTGACCTATATCGTAGTGATTTTGTAATGCATTTCCAAGAAATTAGATAGCCTAACTTCCAAATGAAATTGTACATTTTCATTTGTCAGAATTTGTAATTGAATTATAGAACTACAGAACCTCGCTACTTTTCTTCATGATTTGTCATCTACTTAAGTCACTGATGTGGCCTTTTAGTGTACTCATTTTAATTAACATATTCTAGTATTTCTTT